GACCTCGGTCATGAGCACACTGCCCAGGTATGAAAACTCTCCACTCTCTCCACAACTGCCCCATCACCAATGGGGAGTTGAGGGGGTTGAGTGTTTGTTGGCACAATATAGCCATGCAAGTACTTAGATTTGGTATGGCTGATGGTAAGGCCCCACCTCTTAGTGGCACACTCCAGGTTCAGCAGCAGTGCCTCCAACTCCTCTGAGTGACCACCAATCACCAGATCATCAGCATATGTAAAATGGTTGAGCAATAGGGAGCTATCCCTTGAATACACACGGGCATCGATCAGCCTCCCATTGTATCTGTACCAGATGGAAATTCCCCCAGTACAGCAAATGAAGGCTTTAGGAACAAACGCGGTCAAAAAATACGTGAAATAATGTGGGAGCCAGTGAACAGGAAATGGCTCTGACTCATGGGCCACGTAGTTTTACCCGGGCCTGCTCACCATCATGAAAGTCATTAATGATCGTGAGCAGAGAGTCAGCGATTTTGAAAGCACGAGAAACAACCCAGAGCCCAGGCCTACTGATGGTATCATAGTGCCTTGACGAGGTCAATAAAGCAGAGATGTAAGATTCTATATTCTTGGTTCTTTCGGTAAAGTCACGTTGAAGGGAAACAATAAACGTGACTTTACCGAAAGAACCAAGAATATGAATCACTGCAGTCACGAAAGCTTTAAATAAAAATGTAAGATCCTGTTTATAATTCCCTACACCTCTGCTGTAGCAGACAGAAAATATGGCATCTGTGCAGGACCGCCCTTTCCTGAAACCGCATTGGGGCTCCGCAAGCCTCTCCTCAGCGTGCCTGGAAAGGCGATGTTGAATAATCCTTGCCAGGACTTTTCCCAGCGCACTGAGGAGTGAGATGCCCCTGTAGTTGTTACAGTCTGTGCGGTCCCTCTTCTTAAAAAGGGGGACCACCAGGGCATCCTTCCAATCCTGCGGAACCCGTCCAGTAGGGCAGTCTGTGCACAAACACAGACGGCACCCTCCCTCAGCATTTCGCTTGGGAGATCATCTCTGCCCGGTGCCTTTCCTGGTCTCAGACTCTGGATCGCCTTCAGTACTTCCTCAACAGATGGCACCTCAGCCAGCCACTCACAGGGGGTGACTTCTTCCAATATTTGAGGCACCGCAGCATCAGCAGGATCATCCTCACTTTGTGCCACGATGTTTTCCTGGCTGGGGAATGTCCCTTCCCCCAATACCTCATTGAAATGCTCAGTAAATCTGCAAACCGGTTCCTGGGGGTCAGAAATTAGATCACCTTTCTTTTCCCTATGATGATGATAGGTGTGGCGCTGCCGGTTACTTTTTGATGTAGTAAAAAAGAGATTTGTGATTGCGGGCCACTGAGGCAGACTCCATCTCCTCAGCAACCCGCAACCACCACCCATCCTTGCAGCGCCTACCTGCTCTCCGAACCTCCGAGCGAAGGCTGCGGTAAGCCTCCTCATTCTCTGACGTGGGATTCTGTAGCCGATGACAGTGGGCCTGTCGCTTTTTCTCAACCATCCTGAACACCTCCTCTGTCAGCCAGGGTCTCTGGGGAGGTCTGGACCGCGTACCCAAAGCAGCCATTGCAGCTGCATGAGTCACAGTCCTAAACCTCGCCCATTTACCCTCGACATCAGGTGGAGTCGGGGACGATGCCAACACCAGCTGCAAGCGATGATGAAATTCTCGCTTGCAACTTTTTTCAGCTAGCTGAGGCCAGGCCACTTTAGGTTGAAATGGGGTCCTGGGTGTACACCCACCACCGGAGTGGAAGAATGGCAGGCGCATCTTACAGATGACTAGTCGATGGTCAGTGGGCAGATCAGCTCCATGGTAGGTCCTTGTATGGATGCGCCGATGGTAATTACAAGCCCATTGGCTGTACAGACGTCTAGCAGCCTCCTAACGTTGTTATTGAGCTGATCTGGCACATCCCTTCAAATCACTCCAGACCAGGTCCCAGCATCATGACCAACTTGGGCACTTAAAGTCACCCAATAGAATGAATTCATCCCGAGCGGCCACTTTAGCCAGCACCTGTGACAGGAGGTCATAGAAGGCATCTGACTCTTCGGCCTTGGCTGTGTAGTGTTTATAAAGACGAATAAACTAACTATGAGGCACACTCCGCCCATTGTAATTCTTCTCTCACACAGTCCTTAACACACGGAGGGGTATAAGGTCCCCTCACGCAATACCCTAGGGAGGTACAGCCTCCGGACTCAGCGGAACCTACACACAGGTCTGCTTGATACCTAAGGAGGTACAGACTCCTATCTCGGTGGGACTTACACGTCCACCGCTACCCTAGCCTAAGGAGGTACAGACTCCTATCTCGGCGGGACTTACACGTCTACCGCTATCCCAGCCTAAGGAGGTACAGTCTCATATCTTGGTGGGACTTACACGTCTACCGCTACCCTAGCCTAAGGAGGTACAGACTCCTATCTTGGTGGGACTTACACGTCTACCGCTACCCTAGCCTAAGGAGGTACAGACTCCTATCTTTGTGGGACTTACACGTCCACCGCTACCCTAGCCTAAGGAGGTACAGTCTCCTGTCTTGACGGACTTACACGTCTACCGCTATCCTAGCCTAAGGAGGTACAGTCTCCTATCTTGGTGGGACTTACACGTCCACCGCTATCCCAGCCTAAGGAGGTACAGACTCCTATCCTGGTGGGACTTACACGCCCACCGCTACCCTAGCCTAAGGAGGTACAGACTCCTATCTTGGTTGGACTTACACGTCCACCGCTATCCCAGCCTAAGGAGGTACAGCCTCCTATCTTGGTGGGACTTACACATCCACCGCTACCCTAGCCTAAGGAGGTACAGCCTCCTATCTTGACGGCACTTACACGTCCACCGCTATCCCAGCCTAAGGAGGTACAGCCTCCTATCTTGGTGGGACTTACACATCCACCGCTACCCTAGCCTAAGGAGGTACAGCCTCCTATCTTGGTGGGACTTACACGCCCACCGCTACCCTAGCTTAAGGAGGTACAGACTCCTATCTTGGTGGGACTTACACATCCACCGCTACCCTAGCCTAAGGAGGTACAGCCTCCTATCTTGGTGGGACTTACACGCCCACCGCTACCCTAGCCTAAGGAGGTACAGTCTCCTATCTTGACAGGACTTACACGCTTACCGCTATCCCAGCCTAAGGAGGTACAGCCTCCTATCTTGCCGGGACTTACACGTCTACCGCTACCCCAGCCTAAGGAGGTCCAGTCTCCTATCTTGTGGAGACTTACACGTCCACCGCTATCCTAGCCTAAGGAGGTTCAGTCTCCTAGCTTGGTGGGATTTACACGTCTACCACTATCCTAACCTAAGGAGGTACAGCCTCCTATCTTGACGGGACTTACACGTCTACCACTATCCTAACCTAAGGAGGTACAGCCTCCTATCTTGACGGGACTTACACGTCTACCACTATCCTAACCTAAGGAGGTACAGCCTCCTATCTTGGTGGGACTTACACGTCTACCGCTATCCTAGCCTAAGGAGGTACAGTCTCCTATCTTGGTGGGACTTACATGTCCACCGCTATCCTAGCCTAAGGAGGTACAGCCTCCTATCTCGGCGGGACTCACACGTCTACCGCTATTCTAGAATCCTCCAGCTGGGACCTAGGGGAGGCTATCTGACCCACCGCTGGCCCGGTGGGTCCTGACCGCTAGGGCACGCCGAGCCTTAGCCCTAAGAAGGGCCGGAAGGCCGCGTCCAGGGTCCTGGCTAGTCTTCAGCCCGGGCTTCGGTCTTCGTGTAGGGAGAGATCTCCCCCTGCTCTGCGTGGTCACCCTTCTTATACCCGTTCGTGGCCAGGTGTAACCAATCGCGCATTCCCACGTGGAACAGTCAGATTGGTTCTTACCGAACTGTGGCTACGATCCACCTCGCCTCATCTGACCCCGACCGTTGTTCGCACAGAGGGGTAACGCTGCACTGACCCTTTGATACCTGGTGGCAATGCAGGTTGCCGAACAGTGAGTGGTTAACGCCTCTACGTCTGCATCCCTCCACGGATGTTGATCTTTGGCGGGGGCATAAGTCACCACCATCACTCATCGCTGCTGGTTGATTGGATGGGGAGCCCACAGTAGCTGAGGGATTTCAGCTTCCCACACCTCACCACCACGCTCTTAAGCCTCCTTCATTTCTTTTGTTCAGAAGAAGAGCCACACCCTGTTGTTTGGCAGTCTCCTGCACCGAGTAGAGGAGCGTCCACCCCTCATGCTGGCAGGGAGCCAGAGCCGGTCCTACCGGACCTCCTGAAATACCACAGAGATCCAGGCGGTACCGGTCCAGCTCCCGACAGAGGAGTGGGCAGCCTCTCCTCCGCAGTGAGCGTTCGGACATTCCACGTGGCCACACGCAGTGGCTTTTCTGCTGGCTCCGTCTAATCTGGCACAAACTGAGCTATCTACTTTTTCACGTGGTTTTGTGGTAATTAAATTGAAGGTGGAGGGGTTACCAGCCCCTCACACTCATCCAGAGACCCCAATTGGCATGTCACTCCACCGGCTCACTCGCTCGCTCACCTACTTCCTCATCCGCTCCCTCGCTCACCCACTCGCCCACTCCCTCACAAACCCACTCACTCACTCACTCACCCACTTCCTCCCCCACCCCACTCACTCACTCACTCACCCACTCACTCCATCGCTCACCCACTCCCTCACTCACCCACTCACTCGCTCACTCATCCACTCACCCACTCACTCGCTCACTCACCCACTCACTCACTCACTCACCCACTCACTCACTCACACACTCACCCACTCACTCCCTCACTCACCCACTCACCCACTAACTCACTCACTCACTCACTCCCTCCCTCACACACACACTCCCTCGCTCACTCATCCACTCACCCACTCACTCGCTCACTCACCCACTCACTCACTCACTCACCCACTCCCTCGCCCACCCCACCACTCGCCCCACCGCTCGCCCCACCGCCCGCCCGCCCGCCCGCTCACATGCACACGCATTTTCCCGTGAGCACGTCGCAGCGCTCGCTGGCGGCCAGGTTGCAGTAGCAGAGGTTGGAGCAATTGCGTCCCCACCACCACGGCCGGCACGGGCAGGAGCCATCGGCCATCGCGCAGCCCGGCGGCATGGAGGCCACCGTGGGCGAGCCTCCTCCACCGCCTCCACCGCCTCCTCCTCCTCCACCGCCTCCTCCTCCTCCACCACCTCCACCGCCTCCTCCTCCTCCACCGCCTCCTCCTCCACCGCCTCCTCCACCGCCTCCACTGCCTCCTCCTCCTCCACCGCCTCCACCGCCTCGTCCTCCTCCACCGCCTCGTCCTCCTCCTCCTCCACCGCCTCGTCCTCCTCCACCGCCTCGTCCTCCTCCTCGTCCTCTGCCACCGCCACCGCGTCTACCGTAGGTGCCCCAGGGGCGGCAGGCGCAGGTCTGCCGGCAATGGGGGCCCCAGCGGCCCTGCCGGCAGGAGGAGCAGCGGCCGGTCTCGGCGTCGCAGCGGCCTCCACCCCGGGCCGGGTGGCACCCGGGAGGGCACTCGGAGAGGCAGGCGGGGCCCCAGTAGCCCGGGGGGCACTCTGGGGGGGGGGGTCAGGCAAAGTCAACGCAATGGTTACAACTACAACTACACCTACATCTACAACTACACCTACAATTATCACTACAACTACCACTACACCTACATCTAGAACTATCACTACACCTACCACTACATCTACCACTACCACTACATCTACATCTAACACTACAACTATCACTATTACTACACCTACATCTACAACTACAACTACACCTACATCTATCACTACACCTACATATATCACTACACCTACATCTACAACTACCACTACACCTACAACTATCACTACACCTACAACTATCACTACACCTACATCTACCACTACACCTACATCTACAACTACCACTACATCTACAACTACCACTACACCTACAACTATCACTACATCTACATCTACAACTACAACTACACCTACATCTACAACTACACCTACAACTATCACTACACCTACCACTACACCTACACCTATCACTATCACTACATCTACCACTACACCTACACCTATCACTATCACCACAACTACAACTATCACTACAACTACCACTACACCTACAACTGTCACTACACCTACATCTACAACTATCACTACACCTACCACTACACCTACATCTACCACTACACCTACAACTATCACTACATCTACAACTACCACTACACCTACATCTACCACTACACCTACCACTACCACTATCACTACACCTACACCTACCACTACATCTACCACTACACCTACAACTATCACTACATCTACAACTACAACTACCACTACATCTACATCTACCACTACACCTACCACTATCACTACACCTACACCTACCACTACCACTACATCTACCACTACCCCTACCACTACATCTACAACTAGCACTACACCTACAACTATCACTACCACTACACCTACCACTATCACTACATCTACAATTATCACTATCACTACCACTACATCTACCACTACATCTACAACTACCACTACATCTACCACTACACCTACCACTACCACTACCATTACACCTATCACTATCACTACCACTACATCTACCACTATCACTACCACTACATCTACAACTATCATTACCACTACACCTACATCTACCACTACACCTACATCTACAACTACCACTACACCTACAACTACCACTATCACTACACCTACCACTATCACTACACCTACACCTACCACTATCACTACACCTACCACTACACCCACCACTATCACTGCATCTACCACTATCACTACACCTACACCTACATCTACCACTATCAGTACACCTACCACTACACCTACCACTACACCTACATCTACCACTACACCTACAACTATCACTACATCTACCACTACACCTACCACTATCACTACATCTACCACTACACCTACCACTATCACTACACCTACCACTATCACTACCACTACATCTACCACTATCACTACCACTACACCTACCATTATCATTACCACTATCACTACATCTACCACTATCACTACCACTACATCTACAACTATCACTACATCTACCACTATCACTACCACTACACCTACAACTATCACTACCACTACCCCTATCACTACCACTACACCTACCACTACACACACACAGACACACACACACACAGACACACACAGACACACACACAGACACACACACACACACACAGACACACACACACAGACACACACACAGACACACACACACAGACACACACACACAGACACACACACAGACACACACACACAGACACACACACAGACACACACACACAGACACACAGACACACACAGACACACACACACACAGACACACACACACAGACACACACATATACACACACACAGACACACACACAGACACACACACACACAGACACACACACACACACAGACACACACACAGACACACACATACACAGACACACACACAGACACACACAGACACACACACCCACAGACACACACAGACACACACACCCACAGACACACACAGACACACACACACACAGACACACACAGACACACACAGACACACACACACACAGACACACACAGACACACACACACAGACACACAGACACACACACACAGACACACACAGACACACACACAGACACACACACACACAGACACACACACAGACACACACACAGACACACACACACAGACACACACACAACAGACACACACACAACAGACACACACACAGACACACACAGACACACACACAGACACACACATAGACACACACACACAGACACACACACACAGACACACACATAGACACACACATAGACACACACACAGACACACACACAGACACACACACAGACACACACACACAGACACACACACAGACACACACACAGACACACACACACACAGACACACACACACAGACACACACACAGACACACACAGACACACACACCCACAGACACACACAGACACACACACCCACAGACACACACACACAGACACACACAGACACACACAGACACACACAGAAACACACACACACAGACACACACACACACAGACACACACAGACACACACAGACACACACACACAGACACACACACACAGACACACACACACAGACACACACACACAGACACACACAGACACACACAACAACAACAACAACAACCGCCATTCGCCACTAAGTGGCGGTGACGTCACCACGACGCTTGTGCCAGGCTATGTGCACCCTGAGGCCACGTGAAGTGTCGAACGCCCGCTGGCAGGAGGTCACGGGGCAGACCCAGGTGCCACGGGTCGACTGACTGAGATGACTGGCTGATGCACCACCTGTGCCCCCTACTGTGCCAACCTGCTGTGCTTTAGCCAACCGGGCGCTCCACTCGCTGTTGTGAGCGTCGCTCCTCCGCCCTCCGTTGTTGTTGGAGGGCGACTGCCTCCAACTGCCCAGTAGCATCCTTCACGAGCCCCCTCCACAGAGGCCGATCTTGACACCGCTGGTACCAGTCATCGGCAAGTCCACTCAGCTCCACGTCCTCCTGTACCACATCACTCCATCTCTTCTCTAGCCCGTGCCGCGCCCGCTTAGCCCCCTCAATCCGGCCAAACAAAAGCTGTTTCGGCATGCGGTGGCTGGGCATGCGGGCTACATGACCCAGCCATCGCAGCCTTGCCTGCCGGAGGAGCTCACCGATGGGACCCTGCCCAGATCTTTCAAGGATTTGTGAGCTCCTCACACAATCCAGTCTGGTTAACCCCAGGATGGATCGTAGGCAGGTCAGCCTAAATGTTTCTAACCGGCGAAGATGTTCCATTAGGGGGGTCCACGTTTCGCAAGCGTAGAGAAGGGAGGGAATGACCGTGGCCGAGAAGACCTGAAGCTTAGTGCGGAGCTACAGACCAGGTAGCTTCCACACAGCGTTACGCAACCGATGAAAAGATATTGCCGCTCGACTGATTCGGAGTGAGACCTCTGCTGTTAAACTGGAGCCAGTCATAAGCACACTGCCCAGGTATGGGAAACTCTCCACTCTCTCCACAACTGCCCCATCACCGATTGGGAGTTGTGGGGGTGGAGTGTCCGATGGTACAAAATACCCAGGCAGGTGCTTAGTTTTGGTGGGGCTGATGGTAAGGCCCCACCTCTTAGTGGCACGCTCCAGTCTCAGCAGCAGCGTCTCCAACTCCTCCTCTGACTGAGCAGCTATTACCAAGTCATCAGCATACATAACGTGGTTGAGCAATAGGGAGCCATCCCTTGACCGCACCCGGGCATCGATTAGCCTCCCATTATATCTGTACCATATGGAGATTCCCCCGGTACAGCTATTGAAGGCTTCACGAACTACGTGGTCAAAATAGATGTTAAATAATGTGGGAGCCAGAGGACATCCCTGTCGCACCCCAAGGTGTACAGGGAATGGCTCTGACTCCCGGCCACGTAGTTTTACCCGGGCCCGCTCACCATCATGAAGGTCCTTAATGATCGTGTGCAGAGGGTCAGGTACTCCAAAAGCACGAAGAACGACCCAGAGCCCAGGCCTACTGATGGTATCATAGGCCTTGACCAGGTCAATAAAGCAGAGATGTAGGTCTTGTTGGAATTCCCTACACCTCTGCTGTAGCAGACGGACAGAAAATATGGCATCTGTGCAGGACCGCCCTTTCCTGAAACCGCATTGGGGCTCCGCAAGCCTCTCCTCAGCGTGCCTGGCAAGGCGATGCTGAATAATCCTTGCCAGGACCTTTCCCGGCACACTGAGGAGTGAGATGCCCCTGTAGTTGTTACAGTCTGTGCGGTCCCCCTTCTTAAAAAGGGGGACCACCAGGGCATCCTTCCAATCCTGCGGAACCCGTCCAGTGGTCCAGACTGTTGTTATGATGTCATATAGGGCAGTCTGTGCACAAACGCCACCCTCCCTCAGCATTTCGCTTGGGAGATCATCTCTGCCCGCTGCCTTTCCTGGTCTCAGACTCCGGATCGCCTTCAATACTTCCTCAGCAGATGGCACCTCAGCCAGCCACTCACAGGGGGTGACTTCATCCAATATTTGAGGCACCGCAGCCTCAGCAGGGTCATCCTCACTTTGTGCCACGATGTTTTCCTGGCTGTCGGATTTTCCCTCCCCCAGGACCTCACAGAAATGCTCAGCAAATCTGCGAACCTGTTCCTGGGGGTCGGAAATTGGATCACCGTTTTTTCCCCTAATGATGGTAATAGGTGTGGCGCTGCAGGTTACTTTTTTGATGGAGTTAAATAGCGATTTGTGATCACGGGCCACTGAGGCAGACTCCATCTCCTCAGCAACCCGCGACCACCACCCATCCTTGCAGCGCCTCACGGCTCTCCGAACCTCCGAGCGAAGGCTGCGGTAAGCCTCCTCATTCTCTGACGTGGGATTCTGTAGCCGATGGCAGTGGGCCTGTCGCTTTTTCTCAACCATCCTGAACAACTCCTCTGTCATCCAGGGTGTCTGGGGAGGTCTGGACCGCGTACCCAAAGCAGCCATTGCAGCTGCATGAGTCACAGTCCTAAACCTCGCCCATTTACCCTCGACATCAGGAGGAGTCGGGGACGATGCCAATCCCAGCCGCAAGCGATGATGAAATTCTCGCTTGCAACTTTCATCAGATAACTGAGACCAGGCCACTTTAGGTTGGAATGGGGTCCTGGGTGTACACCCACCACCGGAGTGGAAGAATGGCAGGCGCATCTTACAGATGACTAGTCGATGGTCAGAGGGCAGATCAGCTCCACGGTAGGTCCTGGTGTCAAGGACATGGGCTCGCATTCGCTGGTCCGTCACTATGTAGTCCAGCAGATGTTCTTGCTTGGACCCGGCATGCATCCATGATGTTGTGTGGATGCGCCGATGCCGGAACAGCGTGTTGGTAATTACAAGCCCATGGGCTGCACAAAAATCTAGCAGCCTCCTACCATTGTTATTGAGCTGATCTGGCCCATGCCCTCCAATCACTCCAGACCAGGTGCCAGTATCATGACCAACTCGGGCATTGAAGTCACCCAACATGATGACTCTATCCCGAGGGGCCACTTTAGCCAGCACCTGTGACAGGAGGTCATAGAAGGCATCTGACTCATCGGCTTTGCCTGCATCCCTCCACGGATGTTCATCTTCGGTGGGGGCATAAGTAACCACGACCACCATTCCTCGCCTCCGGTTGATGGGAAGGCGAGCCCAAAGTAGCCTGGGGCTTACAGCTTCCCACACCTCACCGCCACGCTCCCACGCCCCCTTCATTCTTTTGTTCAAAAGAAGACCCACACCCTGTTGTTTGGCAGTCTGCTGCCCCGAGTAGAGGACTGTCCACCCCTCATGGTGGCAGGAGCCAGAGCCGGTCCACCGGACCTCCTGAATGCCGCATAGATCCAGGCGGTACCGGTCCAGCTCCCGACAGAGGAGTGGCAGCCTCTCCTCTGCAGTGAGCGTTCGAACATTCCACGTGGCCACCCGTAGTGGCTTTTCGTTGTTTCTGGAGTAGCCCCGAGGGTAGGTATTCAATCTCCTGGCTCCGCCAATTGGGGTTTGGCCAGGAGACGTCATAGACGCCTGGCCCCCCGGGGCCTCCGGCACAAGCTTAGTTGTTACATATTTCACTTTAATTCGTGGTTTTGTGGTAATTAATTGAAGGTGGAGGGGTTACCAGCCCCTCGCACCCGTCCAGAGCCCCCGTTTAGCCCCTGTGGTGGACACATATGCCATGAGGGGAGGAGCCAATCAAAATTGGAACTCCCCCCACAGCACTGTCCACGACAGAGTTGCCCGTCCGGCACCGCGAGGAGGTAGGGGGTTGTTTGCCGGACCAGACACACACACACACAGACACACACACACAGACACACACAGACACACACACACACAGACACACACAGACACAGACACACACACACACAGACACACACACACACACAGACAGACACACACACACACACAGACACACACACACACAGACACACACACACACACACAGACACACACACAGACACAGACACACAGACACAGACACACAGACACACACACACAGACACACACACACACACAGACACACACACACAGACACACACACAGTCACACACACACAGACACAGACACACAGACACACACACACAGACACAGACACACAGACACACACACACAGACACACACACACACAGACACACACACACAGACACACACACACAGACACACACACACAGACACACACACACAGACACACACACACAGACACACACACAGTCACACACACAGACACACACACAGAGAGAGACACACACACACACAGACACACACACAGACACAGACACACACACACACAGACACACACACACACAGACACACACACAGACACAGACACACAGACACACACACACAGACACACACACACAGACACACACACACAGATACACACACACAGACACACACACACAGACACACACACAGTCACACACACACACAGACACACACACAGTCACACACACACACAGACACACACACAGTCACACACACACACAGACACACACACACACACAGACACACACACAGACACACACACAGACACACACACAGACACACACACACAAACACACAAACACACAGACACACACACAGACACACACACACACAGACACACACCTTCATCACAGTTCTCTCCGTGGTGTCCGCTTGGGCAGCGGCACTCCCCCGGTCGCACGCAAACTTCCCCTGCCCGGCACGCCGACGCCCCCTCGCACACAGCTGCAGGAAGACGCCCGGTACAAGGGCAATGCCGGTGTTGAATCTGAAGCTTTGGTGACTGCGTAAATTACTCATTAGAAATACCATGAAATTATAATTTTTATGGTATTTCTAAGGTACGCGACTTTACCGAAAAAAACAATGAGAATTTTAATTGTTTTATTTTTATTTTATTTTAATTACTAAATAATTAAAGATTTCGTGACTGCATAAATTACTCATTGGTTTTTAAAGCAATAAAATTATTGTAAAACAATAAAATTAATATTCTTGGTTCCTTTGGTAAAGTCACCACGTAGAAGGGAAACAATAAAATAATAAAAATATAAAATAATAAAAATATAAAACAATAAATTTATTATTCTTGGTTCTATCGGTAAAATCACCACCACGTGGAAGGGAAAGAATAAAATAATACAAATATAAAACAATAAATTATTATTCTTGGTTCTTTCGGTAAAGTCACCACGTAGAAGGGAAACAATAAAATAATAAAAATATAAAACAATAAAAATATTGTGAAACAATAAAATTATTATTCTTGGTTCTTTCGGTAAAGTCACCACCACGTAGAAGGGAAACAATAAAATAATAAAAATATAAAACAATAAAATTAATATTCTTGGTTCTTTCGGTAAAGTCACCATCAAGGTACCATCAAGGTACCATCAAGGTCTCATCAAGGTACCATCAAGGTACCATCAAGGTACCATCAAGGGGTACCATCAGGGTACCATCAAGGTACCATCAAGGGTACCATCAAGGGTACCATCAAGGTACCATCAAGGGTACCATCAAGGTACCATCAAGGTACCATCAAGGGTACCATCAAGGTACCATCAAGGTACCATCAAGGTATCATCAAGGGTACCATCAAGGTACCATCAAGGTACCATCAAGGTACCATCAAGGTATCATCAAGGGTACCATCAAGGTACCATCAAGGTACCATCAAGGTACCATCAAGGTACCATCAAGGTATCATCAAGGTATCATCAAGGTACCATCAAGGGTACCATCAAGGTACCATCAAGGTACCATCAAGGTATCATCAAGGGTACCATCAAGGTACCATCAAGGTACCATCAAGGTATCATCAAGGGTACCATCAAGGTACCATCAAGGTACCATCAAGGTACCATCAAGGTACCATCAAGGTATCATCAAGGTACCATCAAGGTACCATCAAGGTACCATCAAGGTACCATCAAGGGTACCATCAAGGTACCATCAAGGGTACCATCAAGGGTACCATCAAGGTACAATCAAGGTACCATCAAGGTACCATCAAGGGTACCATCAAGGGTACCATCAAGGGTACCATCAAGGTATCATCAAGGTATCATCAAGGGTACCATCAAGGTACCATCAAGGTACCATCAAGGGTACCATCAAGGGTACCATCAAGGGTACCATCAAGGTATCATCAAGGTATCATCAAGGGTACCATCAAGGGTACCATCAAGGTACCATCAAGGTACCATCAAGGTACCATCAAGGTATCATCAAGGTACAATCAAGGTACCATCAAGGTATCATCAAGGGTACCATCAAGGTACCATCAATGGTACCATCAAGGTACCATCAAGGTACCATCAAGGTACCATCAAGGGTACCATCAAGGGTACCATCAAGGTATCATCAAGGGTACCATCAAGGGTACCATCAAGGTACCATCAAGGTACCATCAAGGTACCATCAAGGTATCATCAAGGGTACCATCAAGGTACCATCAAGGTACCATCAAGGTACTATCAAGGTAACATCAAGGTACCATCAATGTACCATCAAGGTACCATCAAGGGTACCATCAAGGTACCATCAAGGTACCATCAATGTACCATCAAGGTACCATCAAGGTACCATCAAGGGTACCATCAAGGTACCATCAAGGTACCATCAAGGTACCATCAAGGTACCATCAAGGTACCATCAAGGGTACCATCAAGGTACCATCAAGGTATCAACAAGGTACCATCAAGGTACCATCAAGGTACCATCAAGGTATCATCAAGGTACCATGAAGGTATCATCAAGGTTACCATCAAGGTACCATCAATGTACCATCAAGGTACCATCAAGGTATCATCAAGGTACCATCAAGGTACCATCAAGGTACCATCAAGGTATCATCAAGGTACCATCAAGGTATCATCAAGGGTACCATCAAGAGTACCATCAAGGTACCATCAAGGTACCATCAAGATACCATCAAGGTATCATCAAGGGTACCATCAAGGTACCATCAAGGTACAATCAAGGTACCATCAAGGTATCATCAAGGGTACCATCAAGGTACCATCAAGGTACCATCAAGATACCATCAAGGTACCATCAAGGGTACCATCAAGGTACCATCAAGGTACAATCAAGGTACCATCAAGGTATCATCAAGGGTACCATCAAGGTACCATCAATGGTACCATCAAGGTACCATCAAGGTACCATCAAGGTATCCTCAAGGGTACCATCAAGGTATCATCAAGGTTACCATCAAGGTACCATCAAGGGTACCATCAAGGTACCATCAAGGTACCATCAAGGTACCATCAAGGTATCATCAAGGTTACCATCAAGGTACCATCAAGGCTACCATCAAGGTATCATCAAGGTACCATCAAGGTACCATCAAGGTACCATCAAGGTACCATCAAGGTATCCTCAAGGGTACCATCAAGGTATCATCAAGGTACCATCAAGGTACCATCAAGGTACCATCAAGGTATCATCAAGGGTACCATCAAGGTACCATCAAGGATACCATCAAGGTACCATCAAGGGTACCATCAAGGCTACCATCAAGGTATCATCAAGGTACCATCAAGGTACCATCAAGGTACCATCAAGGTACCATCAAGGTACCATCAAGGTATCATCAAGGTACCATCAAGGTACCATCAAGGTACCATCAAGGGTACCATCAAGGGTACCATCAAGGTACCATCAAGATACCATCAGGGGTACCATCAAGGTACCATCAAGGTACCATCAAGGTAACATCAAGGGTACCATCAAGGGTACCATCAAGGTACCATCAAGGGTACCATCAAGGTATCATCAAGGTATCATCAAGGTATCATCAAGGTACCATCAAGGTATCATCAAGGTTACCATCAAGGTACCATCAAGGGTACCATCAAGGTACCATCAAGGTATCATCAAGGGTACCATCAAGGTACCATCAAGGTATCATCAAGGGTACCATCAAGGTACCATCAAGGTACCATCAAGGTACCATCAAGGTATCATCAAGGTTACCATCAAGGTACCATCAAGGGTACCATCAAGGTACCATCAAGGTATCATCAAGGGTACCATCAAGGTACCATCAAGGTACCATCAAGGGTACCATCAAGGTACCATCAAGGTACCATCAAGGGTACCATCAAGGTACCATCAAGGTACCATCAAGGGTACCATCAAGGTACCATCAAGGTACCATCAAGGTATCATCAAGGTACCATCAAGGTACCATCAAGGGTACCATCAAGGTACCATCAAGGTACCATCAAGGTACCATCAAGGTACCATCAAGGTACCATCAAGGTACCATCAAGGTACCATCAAGGTACCATCAAGGTACCATCAAGGTACCATCAAGGTACCATCAAGGGTACCATCAAGGTACCATCAAGGTACCATCAAGGTACCATCAAGGGTACCATCAAGGTACCATCAAGGTACCATCAAGGTACCATCAAGGTACCATCAAGGTACCATCAAGGTACCATCAAGGGTACCATCAAGGTACCATCAAGGTATCATCAATGTACCATCATGGGTACCATCAAGGTACCATCAAGGGTACCATCAAGGGTACCATCAAGGTACCATCAAGGTACCATGAAGGTACCATCAAGGTACCATCAAGGTACCATCAAGGTACCATCAAGGGTACCATCAAGGTACCATCAAGGTATCATCAAGGGTACCATCAAGGTACCATCAAGGTATCATCAAGGGTACCATCAAGGTACCATCAAGGTATCATCAAGGTACCATCAAGGTACCATCAAGGTATCATCAAGGTATCATCAAGGGTACCATCAAGGTACCATCAAGGGTACCATCAAGGTACCATCAAGGTACCATCAAGGTACCATCAAGGGTACCATCAAGGTACCATCAAGGGTACCATCAAGGTACCATCAAGGTACCATCAAGGTACCATCAAGGTATCATCAAGGTACCATCAAGGTACCATCAAGGTACCATCAAGGTACCATCAAGGGTACCATCAAGGTACCATCAAGGGTACCATAAAGGTACCATCAAGGTACCATCAAGGGTACCATCAAGGTACCATCAAGGGTACCATCAAGGTACCATCAAGGTACCATCAAGGGTACCATCAAGGTACCATCAAGGGTACCATCAAGGTACCATCAAGGTACCATCAAGGGTACCATCAAGGTACCATCAAGGTACCATCAAGGTACCATCAAGGTACCATCAAGGGTACCATCAAGGTACCATCAAGGTACCATCAAGGTACCATCAAGGTACCATCAAGGTACCATCAATGTACCATCAAGGGTACCATCAAGGTATCATCAAGGTACCATCAAGGTACCATCAAGGTACCATCAAGGGTACCATCAAGGTTACCATCAAGGGTACCATCAAGGTACCATCAAGGTACCATCAAGGGTATCATCAAGGGTACCATCAAGGGTACCATCAAGGGTACCATCAAGGGTACCATCAAGGTATCATCAAGGTACCATCAAGGTACCATCAAGGTACCATCAAGGGTACCATCAAGGTACCATCAAGGTACCATCAATGTACCATCAAGGGTACCATCAAGGTACCATCAAGGTACCATCAAGGGTACCATCAAGGTACCATCAAGGTACCATCAAGGGTACCATCAAGGTACCATCAAGGTACCATCAAGGTACCATCAAGGTACCATCAAGGTATCATCAAGGTACCATCAAGGTACCATCAAGGGTACCATCAAGGGTACCATCAAGGTACCATCAAGGTATCATTCAAGGGTACCAATCAAGGTACCATCAAGGTACCATCAAGGGTACCATCAAGGTACCATCAAGGTATCATCAAGGTACCATCAAGGTACCATCAAGGTACATCAAGGGTACCATCAAGGGTACCATCAAGGTACCATCAAGGGTACCATCAAGGTACCATCAAGGTACCATCAAGGTACCATCAAGGGTACCATCAAGGTACCATCAAGGTACCATCAAGGTACCATCAAGGGTACCATCAAGGTACCATCAAGGTACCATCAAGGGTACCATCAAGGTACCATCAAGGTACCATCAAGGTACCATCAAGGTACCATCAAGGGTACCATCAAGGTACCATCAAGGGTACCATCAAGGTACCATCAAGGTACCATCAAGGTATCATCAAGGGTATCATCAAGGGTACCATCAAGGTACCATCAAGGTACCATCAAGGGTACCATCAAGGTACCATCAAGGTACCATCAAGGTACCATCAAGGTACCATCAAGGGTCCCATCAAGGTACCATCAAGGGTACCATCAAGGTACCATCAAGGTACCATCAAGGGTACCATCAAGGTACCATCAATGTACCATCAAGGTACCATCAAGGTACCATCAAGGTATCATCAAGGGTACCATCAAGGTACCATCAAGGTACCATCAAGGTATCATCAAGGTATCATCAAGGGTACCATCAAGGTACCATCAAGGTACCATCAAGGTACCATCAAGGTACCATCAAGGTATCATCAAGGGTACCATCAAGGTACCATCAAGGTACCATCAAGGTACCATCAAGGGTATCATCAAGGTACCATCAAGGTACCATCAAGGTATCATCAAGAGTACCATCAAGGTACCATCAAGTTATCATCAAGGGTACCATCAAGGTACCATCAAGGGTACCATCAAGGTACCATCAAGGTACCATCAAGGTACCATCAAGGGTACCATCAAGGTACCATCAAGGTACCATCAAGGTACCATCAAGGTACCATCAAGGTACCATCAAGGTTACCATCAAGGTACCATCAAGGTACCATCAAGGTACCATCAAGGTACCATCAAGGTACCATCAAGGTACCATCAATGTACCATCAAGGTACCATCAAGGTACCATCAAGGTACCATCAAGGTACCATCAAGGTATCATCAAGGTATCATCAAGGTATCATCAAAGTACCATCAAGGTACCATCAATGTACCATCAAGGTACCATCAAGGTACCATCAAGGTACCATCAAGGTACCATCAAGGTACCATCAAGGTATCATCAAAGTACCATCAAGGTACCATCAATGTACCATCAAGGTACCATCAAGGTACCATCAAGGTATCATCAAGGTACCATCAAGGTATCATCAAGGGTACCATCAAGGTACCATCAAGGGTACCATCAATGTACCATTAATGTATCATCAAGGTTACCATCAATGTACCATCAATGTATCATCAAGGTTACCATCAATGTACCATCAATGTATCATCAAGGTACCATCAATGTACCATCAAGGTTACCATCAATGTACCATCAATGTATCATCAAGGTTACCATCAATGTACCATCAATGTATCATCAAGGTTACCATCAATGTACCATCAAGGTATCATCAAGGTTACCATTAAGGTACCATCAAGGTATCATCAAGGTTACCATTAAGGTACCATCAAGGGTACCATCAAGGGGTACCATCAAGGGCATCATCAATGTACCATCAAGGGTACCATCAAGGTACCATCAATGTACCATCAAGGGCACCATCAAGGACACCGTCAAGTCCGCGTTGCCCTAGGCGTGCTTGTGGAAACAAAGACGGCACCGGTCCTTCTCGACATGGCTGCTCAAGCCGAGGCATCAACGCTTAGGTGAGGTTTGCATGGTCCTGGTACTGGCCGCCGTCAGCCGTTTCTCCCTCCGGCCCCTTGCCACCCGGCGCTTGAAGGGGCGCCAATGCTGGAGACGCCTTTACAGCTCTGGGAGGAGGCCAGTCCCCGGTTTCAAATGCAGTGCATTGTTAGGTCGTCATCGGCGCGATGTGGACGTGGTTGCATTGTCCTGGTACTGGTCGCCTTCAGGCGTTGCTTTTTCAGGAGGGAAGGAGGGAGGAGGGAGGGAGGAGGATGGAGGAGGAGGAGGAGGAGGAGGAGGTGGAGGAGGAGGAGGAGGAGGAGGAGGAGGAGGAGGAGGAGGAGGAGGAGGAGGAGGAGGAGGGAGGAGTAGGAGGAGGAGGAGGGAGGAGGAGGAGTAGGATGAGTAGGAGGAGGAGGATGAGTAGGAGGAGGAGGATGGAGGATGAGGAGGAGGAGGAGGGAGGAGGAGTAGGAGGAGGAGGAGAAGGAGGAGGGAGGAGGAGGAGAAGGAGGAGGGAGGAGGAGGAGTAGGAGGAGGAGGAGGAGGAGGAGGAGGGAGGAGGAGTAGGATGAGTAGGAGGAGTAGGATGAGGAGGAGGAGGAGGAGGAGGATGAGTAGGAGGGAGGAGGAGGGAGGGGGAGGAAGGAGGAGGAGGAGGATGAGTAGGAGGAGTAGGAGGATGAGTAGGAGGAGGATGAGTAGGAGGAGGAGGATGAGTAGGATAAGGAGGAGGATGAGTAGGAGGATGAGGAGGAGGAGGAGGAGTAGGAGGGGGAGGAGGAGGAGGATGAGTAGGAGGAGGATGAGTAGGATGAGGAGGAGGAGGATGAGTAGTAGGAGGAGGAGAAGGATGAGGAGGATGAGTAGGAGGAGGAGCATGAGGATGAGGAGGAGGATGAGGAGGATGAGGAGTAGGAGGATGAGGAGGAGTAGGAGGGGGAAGAGGAGGAGGAGGAGGAGGAGGAGGAGGAGGAGGAGGATGAGTAAGAGGAGGAGGAGGAGGATGAGGAGGAGGATAAGGATGAGAAGGATGAGGAGTAGGAGGATGAGGATGAGGAGGATGAGGAGTAGGAGGATGAGGAGGAGGATGAGGAGGAGGATGAGGAGTAGGAGGATGAGGAGGAGGATAAGGATGAGAAGGATGAGGAGTAGGAGGATGAGGATGAGGAGGATGAGGAGTAGGAGGATGAGGAGGAGGATGAGGAGGAGGATGAGGAGGAGGATGAGGAGGAAGAGGAGGAGGAGGATGAGGAGGAGGATGAGGAGGATGAGGAGTAGGAGGATGAGGAGGAGTAGGAGGGGGAAGAGGAGGAGGAGGATGAGTAGGAGGAGGAGGATGAGTAGGAGGAGGAGGAGGATGAGGAGTAGGAGGATGAGGAGGAGGATGAGGATGAGGAGGATGAGGAGTAGGAGGATGAGGATGAGGAGGATGAGGAGTAGGAGGATGAGGAGGAGGATGAGGATGAGGAGGATGAGGAGTAGGAGGATGAGGATGAGGAGGATGAGGAGTAGGAGGATGAGGAGGAGGATGAGGATGAGGAGGATGAGGAGGATGAGGAGGATGAGGAGGATGAGGAGTATGAGGATGAGGAGGCGGTTTCCTCACCGATGCTGCAGACTTCTCCGCTTTTCCTCCATCCCGGGCAGCATTGAAGCGGCTGCCTGGAATCACAACGCAGAGACAACAACAACAACAACCACCACGTGGTACACCACGTGGTACGACACAGGGTACACCACGTGGTACGACACGTGGTACGACACGTGGTGTCCCTCGTGTTGTACCACGTGTTGTACCACGTGGTGTGCCCTGTGTCGTACCACGTGTTGTACCACGTGATACAACACGAGGCACGACACGAGGCACACCACGTGTTGCAACACGAGGCACACCACGTGGTACAACACGTGGTGTCGTAGCACCGGCCACGTGGTGTCACACAACCAACCACGTGGCGTCGTGCCACCACCACGTGGTTGTACACCACGTGGTACAGCCAATGCCCGCACAGCGCAACTGTTGATATTCAGGAGCCTAATGAAAGGGACACTAAGTGGCGGTGATGTCACCACGACGCTTGTGCCAGGTTAGGTGCACGTTGAGGCCACGTGACGTGTCGAACGCCCGCTGGCAGGAGGTCACGGGGCAGACCCAGGTGCCACAGGTCGACTGACTGAGATGACTGGCTGGTGCACCACCTGTGCCCCCTACTGTGCCAACCTGCTGTGCTTTAGCCACCCGGCGCTCCGCTCGTTGTTGTGAGCATCGCTCCTCCGCCCTCCGTTGTTGTTGGAGGGCGACTGCCTCCAATTGCCCAGTAGCATCCTTCACAAGCCTCCTCCACAGAGGCCGAACTTGAAACCGCTGGTACCAGTCATCGGCAAGTCCACTCAGCTCCACGTCCTCCTGTACCACATCACTCCATCTCTTCTCTAGCCCGTGTCGCGCCCATTTAGCCCCCTCGATCCGGCCGAACAAAAGCTGTTTGGGCATGCGGTGGCTGGGCATGCGGGCTACGTGACCCAGCCAACGCAGCCTTGCCCGCCGGAGGAGCTCACCGATGGGACCTTGCCCAGATCTTTCAAAGATGTGTGAGCTCCTCACACAATCCAGCCTGGTAAAACCCAGGATGGATCGTAGGCAGGCCAGCCTAAATGTTTCTAACTGGCGAAGATGTTCCATTAGGGGGGTCCACGTTTCGCAAGCGTAGAGAAGGGAGGGAATGACCGTGGCCGAGAAAACCCGAAGCTTAGTGTGGAGTGACAGACCAGGTAGCTTCCACACAGCGTTACACAAGCGATGAAAATATATTGCCACTTAACTGATTCAGAGTGAGGCCTCTGCTGTCAAACTGGAGCCAGTCATGAGCACACTGCCAAGGTATGGAAAATTCTCCACTCTGATGGTACAGAATACCCAGGCAGGGTCATCCCCACTTTGTGCCACGATGTTTTCCTGGTTGAGGGGTTTCCCCTCCCCCAGGACCTCACAGAAATGCTCAGCAAATCTGCAAACCTGTTCCTGGGGGTCGGAGATTGGAACACTGTTTTTTCCCCTAATGGTGGCAATAGGTGTGGCGCTGCAGGTTACTTTTTTGATGGAGTTAAATAGAGATTTGTGATCGCGGGCCATTGAAGCAGACTCCATCTCCTCAGCAACCCGCGACCACCACCCATCCTTGCAGCGCCTCACGGCTCTCCGAACCTCCGAGTGAAGGCTGCGGTAAGCCTCCTCATTCTCTGACGTGGGATTCTGTAGCCGATGACAGTGGGCCTGTCGCTTTTTCTCAACCATCCTGAACACCTCCTCCGTCAGCCAGGGTCTCTGGGGAGGTCTGGACCGCGTACCCAAAGCAGCCAATGCAGCTGCATGATTCACAGTCCTAAACCTCGCCCATTTACCCTCGACATCAGGAGGAGTGGGGGACGATGTCAACCCCAGCCGCAAGCGATAATTAAATTCTCACTTGCAACTTTCATCAGCTAACTGAGACCAGGCCACTTTAGGTTGGAATTGGGTCCTGGGTGTACACCCACCACCGGAGTGGAAGAATGGCAGGCGCATCTTACAGATGACAAGTCGATGGTCAGAGAACAGATCAGCTCCACGGTAGGTCCTGGTGTCAAGGACATGGGCTCGCATCTGCTGGTCCGTCACTATGTAGTCCAGCAGATGTTCTTGCTTGGACCCGGCATGCATCCATGATGTTGTGCGGATGCGCCGATGCCGGACCAGCGTGTTGGTAATTACAAGCCCATGGGCTGCACAAAAATCTAGCAGCCTCCCACGGTTGTTATTGAGCTGATCTGGCCCATGCCCTCCAATCACTCCAGACCAGGTGCCAGCATCATGACCAACTCGGGCATTGAAGTCACCCAACAAGATGACTCTATCCCGAGGGGCCACTTTAGCCAGCACCTGTGACAGGAGGTCATAGAAGACATCTGACTCATCGGCCTTGCCTGCATCCCTCCACGGATGTTCGTCTTCGGTGGGGGCATAAGTAACCACGACCACCACTCCTCGCCTACGGTTGATGGGAACGTGATCCCAAAGTAGCCTGGGGCTTACAGCTTCCCACACCTCACCGCCACGCTCCCACGCCCCCTTAATTCATTTGTTCAAAAGAAGAGCCACTCCCTGTTGTTTTGCAGTCTGCTGCCCCGAGTAGAGGGACTGTCCACCACTCATGGTGGCAGGAGCCAGAGCCGGTCCACCGGGCCTCCTGAATGCCACAGAGATCCAGGCGGTACCGGTCCAGCTCCTGACAGAGGAGTGGCAGCCTCTCCACACACACAGACACCAGAACCAGTCCACCGGACCTCCTGAATGCCACAGAGATCCAGGCGGTACCAGTCCAGCTCCCGACAGAGGAGTGGCAGCCTCTCCTCTGCAGTGAGCGTTCGAACATTCCACGTGGCCACCCGCAGTTAAGTTTAAGTCGAAACTACGACTTAAACTTAAATATGTAACACATACTCACACTCACCTACACACACTCAAACCTACACTCACCAACACACACCTACTCACACTCACCTACTCACACCTACTCACACCTACTCACACTCACCTACTCACACTCACCTACTCACACCAACTCACACCTACTCACACTCACCTACTCACACCAACTCACACCTACTCACACCTACTCACACTCACCTACTCACACCTACTCACACTCACCTACTCACACTCACCTACTCACACTCACCTACTCACACCTACTCACACTCACCTACTCACACTCACCTACTCACACTCACCAACTCACACCTACTCACACTCACCTACTCACACCAACTCACACCTACTCAGACTCACCAACACACACCTACTCACACTCACCTACTCACACACACCTACTCACACTCACCTACTCACACCTAGACTCACCTACTCACACCAACTCACACCTACTCAGACTCACCAACACACACCTACTCACACTCACCTACTCACACTCACCTACTCACACACACCTACTCACACCTACTCACACCTACTCACACTCACCTACTCACACTCACCTACTCACACTCACCTACTCACACCTACTCACACTCACCTACTCACACCTACTCACACACACCAACACTCACCTACTCACACTCACCTACTCACACCTACTCACACACACCAACACACACCTACTCACACCTACTCACACTCACCTACTCACACTCACACCTACACTCACCAACACACACCTACTCACACTCACCTACTCACACCTACTCACACTCACCTACTCACACTCACCTACTCACACCTACTCACACCTACTCACACACACACCTACTCACACCTACTCACACCTACTCACACACACCTACTCACACACACCAACACACACCTACTCACACACACCTACTCACACACACCTACTCACACTCACCTACTCACACTCACCTACTCACTCACACCTACTCACACTCACCTACTCACACCTACTCACACCTACACTCACCAACACACACCTACTCACACTCACACCTACTCACACTCACCTACTCACACCTACTCACACACACCTACTCACACCTACACTCACCAACACTCACCTACTCACACACACCTACTCACACTCACCTACTCACACTCACACCTACACTCACCAACACTCACCTACTCACACTCACCTACTCACACTCACCTACTCACCTACTCACACTCACACCTACTCACACCTACACTCACCTACACACACCTACTCACACACACCTACACTCACCAACAAACACCTACTCACACTCACCTACTCACACTCACCTACTCACACTCACCTACTCACACACACCTACTCACACTCACACCTACACTCACCAACACACACCTACTCACACTCACCTACTCACACCTACTCACACCTACTCACACACACCTACTCACACCTACTCACACACACCTACACTCACCTACTCACACCTACTCACACTCACCTACTCACACCTACTCACACCTACTCACACCTACTCACACACACCTACTCACACCTACTCACACACACCAACACTCACCTACTCACACCTACTCACACTCACCTACTCACACTCACACCTACACTCACCAACACACACCTACTCACACTCACCTACTCACACCTACTCACACTCACCTACTCACACTCACCTACTCACACCTACTCACACACACCTACTCACACTCACCTACTCACACTCACCTACTCACACTCACCTACTCACACCTACTCACACCTACTCACACACACCTACTCACACTCACCTACTCACACCAACTCACACCTACTCACACCTACTCACACTCACCTACTCACACCTACTCACACTCACCTACTCACACTCACCTACTCACACTCACCTACTCACACCTACTCACACTCACCTACTCACACTCACCAACTCACACCTACTCACACTCACCTACTCACACCAACTCACACCTACTCAGACTCACCAACACACACCTACTCACACTCACCTACTCACACATACCTACTCACACTCACCTACTCACACCTACACTCACCTACTCACACCAACTCACACCTACTCAGACTCACCAACACACACCTACTCACACTCACCTACTCACACTCACCTACTCACACACACCTACTCACACCTACTCACACCTACTCACACTCACCTACTCACACTCACCTACTCACACCTACTCACACTCACCTACTCACACCTACTCACACACACCAACACTCACCTACTCACACTCACCTACTCACACCTACTCACACACACCAACACACACCTACTCACACCTACTCACACTCACCTACTCACACTCACACCTACACTCACCAACACACACCTACTCACACTCACCTACTCACACCTACTCACACTCACCTACTCACACTCACCTACTCACACCTACTCACACCTACTCACACACACACCTACTCACACCTACTCACACCTACTCACACACACCAACACACACCTACTCACACACACCTACTCACACACACCTACTCACACTCACCTACTCACACTCACCTACTCACTCACACCTACTCACACTCACCTACTCACACCTACTCACACCTACACTCACCAACACACACCTACTCACACTCACACCTACTCACACTCACCTACTCACACCTACTCACACACACCTACTCACACCTACACTCACCAACACTCACCTACTCACACACACCTACTCACACTCACCTACTCACACTCACACCTACACTCACCAACACTCACCTACTCACACTCACCTACTCACACTCACCTACTCACCTACTCACACTCACACCTACTCACACCTACACTCACCTACACACACCTACTCACACACACCTACACTCACCAACAAACACCTACTCACACTCACCTACTCACACTCACCTACTCACACTCACCTACTCACACACACCTACTCACACTCACACCTACACTCACCAACACACACCTACTCACACTCACCTACTCACACCTACTCACACCTACTCACACACACCTACTCACACCTACTCACACACACCTACACTCACCTACTCACACCTACTCACACTCACCTACTCACACCTACTCACACCTACTCACACCTACTCACACACACCTACTCACACCTACTCACACACACCAACACTCACCTACTCACACCTACTCACACTCACCTACTCACACTCACACCTACACTCACCAACACACACCTACTCACACTCACCTACTCACACCTACTCACACTCACCTACTCACACTCACCTACTCACACCTACTCACACACACCTACTCACACTCACCTACTCACACTCACCTACTCACACCTACTCACACCTACTCACACTCACCTACACACTCACCTACTCACACTCACCTACTCACACTCACCAACTCACACCAACACACACCTACTCACACTCACCTACTCACACCTTCTCACACCTACACTCACCAACACTCACCTACTCACACTCACCTACTCACACCTACTCACACCTACACTCACCAACACTCACCTACTCACACTCACCTACTCACACCTACTCACACACACCTACACTCACCTACTCACACTCACCTACTCACACCTACTCACACTCACCTACTCACACTCACACCTACACTCACCAACACACACCTACTCACACACACCTACTCACACCTACTCACACCTACTCACACTCACACCTACACTCACCAACACACACCTACTCACACCTACTCACACTCACCTACTCACACTCACCTACTCACACCTACTCACACACACCTACTCACACTCACCTACTCACACTCACCTACTCACACTCACACCTACACTCACCAACACACACCTACTCACACACACCTACTCACACTCACCTACTCACACCTACTCACACCTACACTCACCAACACACACCTACTCACACCTACTCACACTCACACCTACACTCACCAACACACACCTACTCACACCTACTCACACACACCTACTCACACTCACCTACTCACACCTACTCACACCTACTCACACACACACCTACTCACACTCACCAACACACACCTACTCACACACACCTACTCACACCTACTCACACTCACCTACTCACACACACCTACTCACACTCACCTACACACTCACCTACTCACACCTACTCACACACACCTACTCACACTCACCTACTCACACCTACTCACACCTACTCACACACACCTACTCACACACACCTACTCACACACACCTACTCACCAACACACACCTACTCACACTCACCTACTCACACTCACCTACTCACACTCACCTACTCACACTCACCTACTCACACCTACTCACACCTACTCACACACACACCTACTCACACTCACCAACACACACCTACTCACACACACCTACTCACACCTACTCACACTCACCTACTCACACACACCTACTCACACTCACCTACACACTCACCTACTCACACCTACTCACACACACCTACTCACACTCACCTACTCACACCTACTCACACCTACTCACACACACCTACTCACACACACCTACTCACACACACCTACTCACCAACACACACCTACTCACACTCACCTACTCACACTCACCTACTCACACTCACCTACTCACACTCACACCTACACTCACCAACACACACCTACTCACACTCACCAACACACACCTACACACACCTACTCACACACACCTACTCACACACACACCTACTCACACTCACCTACTCACACCTACTCACACACACCTACTCACACTCACCTACTCACACCTACTCACACTCACCTACTCACACTCACACCTACACTCAGCAACCTACTCACACCTACACTCACCAACACACACCTACTCACACACACCTACTCACACTCACCTACTCACACCTACACACACCTACTCACACACACCTACTCACACACACACCTACTCACACTCACCTACTCACACCTACTCACACACACCTACTCACACTCACCTACTCACACCTACTCACACTCACCTACTCACACTCACACCTACACTCAGCAACCTACTCACACCTACACTCACCAACACACACCTACTCACACACACCTACTCACACTCACCTACTCACACACACACCTACTCACACTCACCTACTCACACCTACTCACACACACCTACTCACACTCACCTACACACACCTACTCACACACTCACCTACTCACACTCACACCTACTCACACTCACCTACTCACACCTACTCACACTCACACACACCTACTCACACACACCTACTCACACCTACTCACACTCACCTACTCACACACACACCTACACACACACTCACCAACACACACCTACTCACACACACCTACTCACACTCACCTACACACACCTACTCACACTCACCTACTCACACTCACACCTACTCACACTCACCTACTCACACCTACTCACACTCACACACACCTACTCACACACACCTACTCACACCTACTCACACTCACCTACTCACACACACACCTACACACACACTCACCAACACACACCTACTCACACACACCTACTCACACTAACCTACACACACCTACTCACACTCACCTACTCACACTCACACCTACTCACACTCACCTACTCACACCTACTCACACTCACACACACCTACTCACACACACCTACTCACACCTACTCACACTCACCTACTCACACACACACCTACACACACACTCACCAACACACACCTACTCACACACACCTACTCACACTCACCTACACACACCTACTCACACTCACCTACTCACACTCACACCTACTCACACTCACCTACTCACACCTACTCACACTCACACACACCTACTCACACACACCTACTCACACCTACTCACACTCACCTACTCACACACACACCTACACACACACTCACCAACACACACCTACTCACACACACCTACTCACACTCACCTACACACACCTACTCACACTCACCTACTCACACTCACACCTACTCACACTCACCTACTCACACCTACTCACACTCACACACACCTACTCACACACACCTACTCACACCTACTCACACTCACCTACTCACACACACACCTACACACACACTCACCAACACACACCTACTCACACACACCTACTCACACTAACCTACACACACCTACTCACACTCACCTACTCACACTCACACCTACTCACACTCACCTACTCACACCTACTCACACTCACACACACCTACTCACACACACCTACTCACACCTACTCACACTCACCTACTCACACACACACCTACACACACACTCACCAACACACACCTACTCACACACACCTACTCACACTCACCTACACACACCTACTCACACTCACCTACTCACACTCACACCTACTCACACTCACCTACTCACACCTACTCACACTCACCTACTCACACACACACCTACACACACTCACCAACACACACCTACTCACACCTACTCACACTCACCTACACACACCTACTCACACTCACCTACTCACACTCACACCTACTCACACTCACCTACTCACACTCGCCTACTCACACCTACTCACACCTACTCACACCTACTCACACTCGCCCTCGCCCCGTACCCTGGAAGGCTGCACACTTGATCCCCTCCCACGGCGAGCGATGCCTCAGCTGCCCCGTCCAGGGCAGCCACCCCCAAGGGCAGCAGCAGCTGCAGCTGCAGCAGGGGCAGCAGCTGCAGCAGGGGCAGCAGCAGCAGGGGCAGCCGCAGGGGCAGCAGCTGCAGCAGCCTCGACAGAGCCAGAGGGCGACAGAGGGCAGCCATTGAACGTCCCTCCGTCTCCCTGTGTCCGCAGGCCCCGCCTCTTCTATTGTGACGTCACTGCCACGTGGTGCAGGGGGGTGGGGTGCGGGGAGGGGTGCGGGGAAGAGAAGCCATTTTGAACGTCGAAGGCACGTGTCTGTGAAGGGTAGTGTATAGTGTGTAGTGTATAGTGTAGTGTATAGTGTAGTGTATAGTGTAGTGTGTAGTGTAGTGTATAGTGTAGTGTGTAGTGTAGTGTGTAGTGTAGTGTGTAGTGTAGTGTATAGTGTAGTGTATAGTGTAGTGTGTAGTGTATAGTGTAGTGTATAGTGTAGTGTAGTGGATAGTGTAGTGTATAGTGTAGTGTATAGTATAGTGTAGTGTATAGTGTAGTGTATAGTGTAGTGTATAGTGTAGTGTATAGTGTAGTGTATAGTATAGTGTATAGTGTAGTGTATAGTGTAGTGTAGTGTATAGTGTAGTGTATAGTGTAGTGTATAGTGTAGTGTATAGTGTAGTGTATAGTGTAGTGTGTAGTGTAGTGTAGTGTGTAGTGTAGTGTGTAGTGTATAGTGTAGTGTATAGTGTAGTGTGTAGTGTAGTGTGTAGTGTAGTGTATAGTGTATAGTGTAGTGTATAGTGTAGTGTATAGTGTACTGTATAGTGTAGTGTATAGTGTAGTGTGTAGTGTAGTGTATAGTGTAGTGTATAGTGTAGTGTAGAGTGTAGTGTATAGTGTAGTGTATAGTGTAATGTATAGTGTAGTGTGTAGTGTAGTGTATAGTGTAGTATATAGTGTAGTATATAGTGTAGTGTATAGTGTAGTGTGTAGTGTAGTGTATAGTGTAGTTTATAGTGTAGTGTATAGTGTAGTGTATAGTGTAGTGTATAGTGTAGTGTATAGTGTAGTTTATAGTGTAGTGTATAGTGTAGTGTGTAGTGTAGTGTGTAGTGTAGTGTATAGTGTAGTGTATAGTGTAGTGTAGTGTATAGTGTAGTGTATAGTGTAGTTTATAGTGTAGTGTATAGTGTAGTGTATAGTGTAGTGTAGTGTGTAGTGTAGTGTATAGTGTAGTGTGTAGTGTAGTGTGTAGTGTAGTGTGTAGTGTATAGTGTAGTGTATAGTGTAGTGTGTAGTGTAGTGTGTAGTGTAGTGTGTAGTGCAGTGTGTAGCGTAGTGTATAGTGTAGTGTATAGTGTAGTGTATAGTGTAGTGTATAGTGTAGTGTATAGTGTAGTGTGTAGTGTATAGTGTAGTGTAGTGTATAGTGTAGTGTATAGTGTAGTGTGTAGTGTAGTGTATAGTGTAGTATATAGTGTAGTATATAGTGTAGTGTGTAGTGTAGTGTATAGTGTAGTGTATAGTGTAGTGTGTAGTGTAGTGTATAGTGTAGTGTAGTGTATAGTAGTGTAGTGTGTAGTGTAGTGTATAGTAGTGTATAGTGTAGTGTATAGTGTAGTGTATAGTGTAGTGTATACTGTAGTGTATAGTGTAGTGTATAGTGTAGTGTATAGTGTAGTGTGTAGTGTAGTGTGTAGTGTAGTGTATAGTAGTGTATAGTGTAGTGTGTAGTGTATAGTGTAGTGTATAGTGTAGTGTATAGTGTAGTGCGTAGTGTAGTGCGTAGTGTAGTGTATAGTGTAGTGTATAGTAGTGTGTAGTGTAGTGTATAGTAGTGTAGTGTATAGTGTAGTGTATAGTGTAGTGTTTAGTGTACTGTGTAGAGTAGTGTATAGTGTAGTGTATAGTGTAGTGTGTAGTGTAGTGTATAGTGTAGTGTATAGTGTAGTGTGTAGTGTAGTGTATAGTGTAGAGTGTAGTGTAGTGTATAGTGTAGTGTGTAGTGTAGTGTAGTGTGTAGTGTAGTGTGTAGTGTAGTGTATAGTGTAGTGTATAGTGTAGTGTATAGTGTAGTTTATAGTGTAGTGTGTAGTGTAGTGTATAGTGTAGTGTATAGTGTAGTGTAGTGTATAGTGTAGTGTATAGTGTAGTGTATAGTGTAGTGTATAGTGTAGTGTGTAGTGTAGTGTATAGTGTAGTATATAGTGTAGTGTATAGTGTAGTGTATAGTGTAGTGTGTAGTGTAGTGTATAGTGTAGTGTGTAGTGTAGTGTATAGTGTATAGTGTAGTGTATAGTGTAGTGTATAGTAGTGTAGTGTGTAGTGTAGTGTATAGTAGTGTATAGTGTAGTGTATAGTGTAGTGTGTAGTGTATAGTGTAGTGTATAGTGTAGTGTATAGTGTAGTGTGTAGTGTATAGTGTAGTGTATAGTGTAGTGTATAGTAGTGTAGTTTGTAGTGTAGTGTATAGTAGTGTATAGTGTAGTGTGTAGTGTAGTGTATAGTGTAGTGTATAGTGTAGTGTATAGTGTAGTGTATAGTGTAGTGCATAGTGTAGTGTATAGTGTAGTGTAGTGTATAGTCTAGTGTATAGTGTAGTGTGTAGTGTAGTGTATAGTGTAGTGTAGTGTGTAGTGTAGTGTATAGTGTAGAGTGTAGTGTAGTGTATAGTGTAGTGTATAGTGTAGTAGTGTATAGTGTAGTGTATAGTGTAGTGTGTAGTGTAGTGTGTAGTGTAGTGTATAGTGTAGTGTAAAGTGTAGTGCATAGTGTAGTGTATAGTGTAGTGTGTATTGTATAGTGTAGTGTGTAGTGTATAGTGTAGTGTGTAGTGTATAGTGTAGCGTATAGTGTAGTGTATAGTGTAGTGTGTAGTGTAGTGTATAGTGTAGTGTATAGTGTAGTGTGTAGTGTAGTGTATAGTGTAGTGTATAGTGTAGAGTGTAGTGTAGTGTGTAGTGTAGTGTGTAGTGTAGTGTATAGTGTAGTGTGTAGTGTATAGTGTAGTGTGTAGTGTAGTGTAGTGTGTAGTGTAGTGTGTAGTATAGTGTGTAGTGTAGTGTGTAGTGTAGTGTATAGTGTAGTGTGTAGTGTAGTGTATAGTGTAGTGTATAGTGTAGTGTAGTGTGTAGTGTAGTGTATAGTGTAGTGTGTAGTGTAGTGTGTAGTGTAGTGTGTAGTGTAGTGTGTAGTGTAGTGTGTAGTGTAGCGTAGTGTGTAGTGTAGTGTGTAGTGTAGTGTAGTGTGTAGTGTAGTGTGTAGTGTAGTGTGTAGTGTAGACGCTGTGTGTGTAGACGCTGTGTGTGTAGACTCTGTGTGCGGAGTCGCTGAGTGCCGAGCAAGCGAAGCGATCGTGGGGAGTGGAGAGACCAAGGTGGCGAGCTGGATTCTGTGGAATGTGGAGGACGTGATTGAGAGTTGTAAATAAAGCGGTGTTCGGGGAAAGACAGAAGTTGACCGAGTGAAATCGAACACTACAGTAGTGTAGTGTATAGTGTAGTGTATAGTGTAGTGTATAGTGTAGTGTATAGTGTAGTGTATAGTGTAGTGTATAGTATAGTAGTGTAGTTTTAGTGTAGTTTCTAGTGTAGTGTATAGTGTAGTGTATAGTAGTGTATAGTGTAGTGTATAGTGTAGTTTTTAGTGTAGTTTACAGTGTAGTGTATAGTGTAGTGTATAGTAGTCTAGTGTATATTAATGTAGTGTATAGTGTAGTGTATAGTAGTGTAGTGTATAGTAGTGTAGTGTATAGTGTAGTGTATAGTAGTGTAGTGTGTAGTGTAGTTTATAGTGTAGTGTATAGTGTAGTGTATAGTAGTGTAGTGTAGAGTGTAGTGTGTAGTGTAGTGTATTGTGTAGTGTATAGTAGTGTAGTGTATAATGTAGTGTATAGTGTGCTGTATAGTAGTGTATAGTGTAGTGTAGTGTATATTAGTGTACAGTAGTGCAGTGTATAGTAGTGTAGTGTATAATGTAATGTATAGAAGTGTAGTGTATAGTGTAGTGTATAGTGTAGTGTATAGTAGTGTAGTGTATAGTGTAGTGTATAGTGTAGTGTAGATTGTACTGCATAGTAGTGTATAGTGTAGTGTAGTGTATAGTGTGTAGTGTAGTGTATAGTAGTGTAGTATATAGTATAGTGTATAGTAGTGTAGTGTATAGTAGTGTAGTGTATAGTAGTTTAGTGTATAATGTAGTGTATAGTGTACTGTATAGTAATGTATAGTGTAGTGTATAGTGTAGTGTACAGTGTAATGTATAGAAGTGTAGTGTATATTAGTGTAGTGTACAGTGTAGTGTATAGTGTAGTGTATAGTAGTGTAGTATATAGTGTAGTGTATAGTTGTGTAGTGTATAGTGTAGTGTTTAGTGTAGGGTGTAGTGTATAGTAGTGTAGTGTGTAGTGTAGTGTATAGTAGTGTATATTGTAGTGTATAGTGTAGTGTATAGTAGTGTAGTGTATAGTGTAGTGTATAGTAGTGTAGTGTATAGTGTAGTGTGCAGTGTAGTGTATAGTGTAGTGTATAGTGTAGTGTATAGTGTACAGTGTGGTGTATAGTGTAGTGTATAGTGTAGTGTATAGTGTACAGTGTAGTGTATAGTGTAGTGTATAGTGTAGTGTGTAATGTAGTGTATAGTGTAGTGTGTAGTGTAGTGTATAGTAGTGTAGTGTATAGTGTAGTTTATAGTGTAGTGTATAGTGTAGTGTATAGTGTAGTGTAGTGTATAGTGTAGTGTATAGTGTAGTGTGTAGTGTAGTGTATAGTGTAGTGTATAGTGTAGTGTAGTGTATAGTGTAGTGTACAGTGTAATGTATAGAAGTGTAGTGTATATTAGTGTAGTGTACAGTGTAGTGTATAGTGTAGTGTATAGTAGTGTAGTATATAGTGTAGTGTATAGTTGTGTAGTGTATAGTGTAGTGTTTAGTGTAGGGTGTAGTGTATAGTAGTGTAGTGTGTAGTGTAGTGTATAGTAGTGTATATTGTAGTGTATAGTGTAGTGTATAGTAGTGTAGTGTATAGTGTAGTGTATAGTAGTGTAGTGTATAGTGTAGTGTGCAGTGTAGTGTATAGTGTAGTGTATAGTGTAGTGTATAGTGTACAGTGTGGTGTATAGTGTAGTGTATAGTGTAGTGTATAGTGTACAGTGTAGTGTATAGTGTAGTGTATAGTGTAGTGTGTAATGTAGTGTATAGTGTAGTGTGTAGTGTAGTGTATAGTAGTGTAGTGTATA